TTTTTTTTTTTTTTTTTTTTTTTTTTTTTTTTTTTTTTTTTTTTTTTTTTTTTTTTTTTTTTTTTTTTTTTTTTTTTTTTTTTTTTTTTTTTTTTTTTTTTTTTTTTTTTTTTTTTTTTTTTTTTTTTTTTTTTTTTTTTTTTTTTTTTTTTTTTTTTTTTTTTTTTTTTTTTTTTTTTTTTTTTTTTTTTTTTTTTTTTTTTTTTTTTTTTTTTTTTTTTTTTTTTTTTTTTTTTTTTTTTTTTTTTTTTTTTTTTTTTTTTTTTTTTTTTTTTTTTTTTTTTTTTTTTTTTTTTTTTTTTTTTTTTTTTTTTTTTTTTTTTTTTTTTTTTTTTTTTTTTTTTTTTTTTTTTTTTTTTTTTTTTTTTTTTTTTTTTTTTTTTTTTTTTTTTTTTTTTTTTTTTTTTTTTTTTTTTTTTTTTTTTTTTTTTTTTTTTTTTTTTTTTTTTTTTTTTTTTTTTTTTTTTTTTTTTTTTTTTTTTTTTTTTTTTTTTTTTTTTTTTTTTTTTTTTTTTTTTTTTTTTTTTTTTTTTTTTTTTTTTTTTTTTTTTTTTTTTTTTTTTTTTTTTTTTTTTTTTTTTTTTTTTTTTTTTTTTTTTTTTTTTTTTTTTTTTTTTTTTTTTTTTTTTTTTTTTTTTTTTTTTTTTTTTTTTTTTTTTTTTTTTTTTTTTTTTTTTTTTTTTTTTTTTTTTTTTTTTTTTTTTTTTTTTTTTTTTTTTTTTTTTTTTTTTTTTTTTTTTTTTTTTTTTTTTTTTTTTTTTTTTTTTTTTTTTTTTTTTTTTTTTTTTTTTTTTTTTTTTTTTTTTTTTTTTTTTTTTTTTTTTTTTTTTTTTTTTTTTTTTTTTTTTTTTTTTTTTTTTTTTTTTTTTTTTTTTTTTTTTTTTTTTTTTTTTTTTTTTTTTTTTTTTTTTTTTTTTTTTTTTTTTTTTTTTTTTTTTTTTTTTTTTTTTTTTTTTTTTTTTTTTTTTTTTTTTTTTTTTTTTTTTTTTTTTTTTTTTTTTTTTTTTTTTTTTTTTTTTTTTTTTTTTTTTTTTTTTTTTTTTTTTTTTTTTTTTTTTTTTTTTTTTTTTTTTTTTTTTTTTTTTTTTTTTTTTTTTTTTTTTTTTTTTTTTTTTTTTTTTTTTTTTTTTTTTTTTTTTTTTTTTTTTTTTTTTTTTTTTTTTTTTTTTTTTTATGATTTGGTATTCGGTATTCGGCTGATTAGTATGCAACATTCGGCCAAATACCGAATATTAAAAAAGTAGCCGAATAGGCCAAATATCGAATAGTAGCTGAATATTCGTGGCATCTCTAGTAATTTTGTTCTAAATGATATTTTCTCATACCAATAATTCTACAGTTAATGTTCCTTATTTAAATTTTTGTTGTACATTATTCAATTAATTTGTAAGCTGAAAATAGTCAAAATAATAGCCAAGAACATTTCTATTTAAAGAAATATTGTTTTGTCTTTCTTAACTAAGCAGTTCATTCAGTTTTGATTTTCAATTGGATACCAAGTTTTGTATTAATACTAGAGATGAGTAAATAGACAAATACTACCTGCAAATACTTAAACACTCAAATACTAGAAATTATTTGAGATCTTGAGTATTATATTGTAGTGTCCTGCCACTATTAAATATTATTTTACTCGGTAATCTTGTATTGGAATTTACCTCAATTGTCGTGTACCAGATTATTGTACTTTATTCCATTTGTCACATACCAGAATCACTGGTAATTATTTCCATCGTTGCGTGTGTCACGTGGAGCTACTGCATCGGATCATGATTGGACTATTTTTAGCTATGTCTAGCTCACATGACTTGGATGGCACAGAGGTATAAATTGAAGGAGCACTATGTGCCAGTACCTTTTTTTTGTCTCCGACCATTGGTTTTTTATGTGAAGGGACTACGAGCTCGACTATGGATAGTGAAGAAGAGAGGTAAGGACCAACAAGTTTTTCGAAAGAGTGAAGGGTTTTTCGCTACGAGGACATTGTTGAACTCACAGCCAAACTGCTAGAGAAATCTCTTACAAGTGATTACACTGTGCTACGAGTATTCTTTGTTGGGGGAATTTTTTTCCACTCAAGAATTCAATTACCACATGTCTACAGATTGCTCTCTACATTCGTTAGGAGAATTGCTCATCGAATGATCAGAATATGTTCCCTTCAATGTAATTTATTGTACAATATTTAGTGATATTATTATTATTATTATTACGCTTAACTTGTTAATTATACTGACTGCTTGCCTTTCAACTGGTAGTAGTAGTTAACTAGTACTATTGTAATCTATGTGTTGTCCTTAGTATATAAAATTAGTTTATTACCAATTCCTTTGTATTAATTCTTATTGTGTAAATACATATCATACCCCATCACATTCTGTGTACTTTGGCCATCTGCAAATTTACAATATCAACAAAAAATAAATTTGAATACCACAAATACCTCTAAAATCATGCCAGTGGATCCAAAAGTACCCAAAGGCAGGTCTAGACCAAACAGTAAAAATATTTGAATAAGTAATAAGAACATTTTATTAGCAGATGCACAACAATTGTACTAAAGATAGTCTGAAACCATATTTGGCATTATAAATGTTTTGAAGAATATGCTTTTGAAGTCAAAACAAAGACATTTAAATTTTTTTTGTATCAATATCATCATCTTGTTTCCACCACTGTATACAAACAGCACCTCTTTTGCACTTCTGGTTTAATATGTGACAAGAAGCAGACTACAATTTAATACAGTAGACCCCCCTATAACGCTTAGATAAGTTCCACGCTAACAGAAAATTACCTTGTAGGAATGAGCCAATCGCAGCCCGATAGGTGGGAACTTTACGGACTAAGGCTGTTCGAAAGGTTTTCTTCTATAAAATTAACCGATTCTAGACTAATTCCACTCAACATTTCCAAAATACGTATAATTTTTTGGGAATAATCTGTATAAACTATGCTATAAACAAAAAATTGTAGGATTACTTACACCGTTCGACTACGCCGTTGCTTAAAGCTGGTTTTCATCGCGGAACAGCACGCGAAACGACGGCCGCAATTTCTGATAACGAATTTTTGGCGGAAAAATAACTTGACCTTTGGAGACATCATTAATATAAATAATTTTTATGGACGTTGAATAAGAAGTGTTTCTTTCACAAGAAATGTATAAAATTAGTGCTGTATTAGACTTACGGTACCTAATTTACATACTGTGCAGACGATAATAAACTCAACTTACTAGCCTAAAATCTCCGTAGCGTGTTGCCAGGCGGCAGAAAGCATATATATAATTATAATAAAGTTACAATAAATTAAGTTAATATATAATTATATATACAGTACCTAATTTATATATAATTAATATATAATTATATGTACAGTACCTAATTTATATATAATTTATATATAATACTAAACAGACGATAGCAAACTCAATTTAGCCGCTCCGTAGCGTGGCGCAGGGTCGGAGGAAAGTAGTTCGGCTGCTCATCCACTATTGGTCCAGACTCTATCAATCTTGTCGCGAAACGACGTTATAGGAGGTACGTTATACGAAAGTTGCTACAATTTTTTCGCTACGTTATAGGAACGTACATTATAGGGGGGTCGACTGTACTGCACTAAAATATGGATATAGTAATAATATGTAATGTACCCAAACAATACCAGGTGTACCAGTTAATAATGCAGATTTTTTAATCAAATAATAATTTCAAAAGAAACATTAAAAGTGCTTCATTCATAGCAATGTCCATCGCTAGCTACACATTTCTCCCATCTTTTAGGTAATTTGTGGATACTGTCCCAATAGAACTTTTTTGTTTTTAGGCAAACCATTCAGAGATCCATTTTTCCACTTCTTTGTATATTTTGAAGTGCTGCTCAGAAAGTGAATGTGCCATCAATTGGAACAAGTGGAAATCTGAAGGAGCAAGGTTTGGTTAGTATGGTAGGTGGGTTAATACTTCCCAGCCAAGATCTTTTAACATGTCTAACTAGTTCCAAAGTGTGTGATGGTACATTATCATAAAGCAAAATTACATTGCCTTGTCTGCTGATCCATTCTAGACATTTTACAATTAAAGCATGGTTCAAATTGATTATTTGTTGTCAGTAACTATCAGTATAAACGGTTTCACGTGGTTCTAGAAGCTCATAATACACCACACCTTCCTGATCCCACCAAACACACAGCAATGTCTTCTTTCCAAAGCAATTTGGCCTTGCAGTATCTTCAGATGGAGCATGTTTACCATAAGCTTCCCGAAGTGTACAATAACTTTCAGCAGCACTTTTCTTCAAAATAAAGTAATGAATTAAAACTTCCTGCAAATGCTCTTTTTTTGAGACAAAATTTGACATATTTAAGTGTAAAATATCTATGATGTTTCATGACACCTTCAAAAAATTTCATATATAAAGTTTTAAAGCTTGTTGTCAATTCAACAAAATGATGTAAATATCAAATCAGATATATATCAACATATCTGTAACACCAACTATTAAACAAAATCCACATTGTTAATCAGTACACCTGGTATCAGGTTTCATGATGTTTGTTTCTGTGTATAACAATGATTCCATTTATGTAAATTTTCACTAGCCAGGCAATTTCATTAATAAATAATAGTATACTATTATCTATGTACTGTAGTAGGACAGAAAAGTTGAATAGCACAAAATGTATGACAAATTGCATGTACTGTACAATACTGAACTTAATGACACCACCATCAGTTAAAATTTCTCAAAACTTCACTTACTCATCAATCCACATACTTCACATGTTTAACTTTTCCCATAAGGTGTTATATTATTGGGGTTCCAGTGTATATTACATTACATTATATTTTTATATTTAATGTAATATATATCATTTATTCATATAAACATTTTTCATCTTCCAATCAAACATTAAGAGTAATATAATGTCTTTGTAAAATTACAAACACCAAATCTAATTATAAACATATTATGCATATAAAAACTCCATTACCCACCTCATCATAATTATCTACCATGAAAAATATATTAGGATAACTTATTTCTTCCATTTCACCTTTGCAATCCATACTTCTTCTACTAGGTGAAGCATATACTCTCTGCAATTAATTTATCTTGATTACTATTTATTAATATTTTTCCATTATTTAAGTCTACAATAATCAATTACCTGAGAATGTCGTTTCAAAATTTGCAAATCTTTTGAACTTGTTCTGGTACAAATAGCACAAGTTAATGTATATTCCAGCTTTAAAAAAAAGATAAACTATTATAATATACATTTGAAAATACTCAAATTTTTCAGTAATCACTGTTTTTTAATTATACTTTCTTTTGTACCTTCAGAATTATATTTGAACTTTAATTTTTTAAATTTTACAAATGCATATAATATTTTTAAAAATTGTCTGTTATTATTTATAACAATTTTTTCATTTAAAATTTCTTTATATCCTATACAACTATATATCCTTAAAAATGACAGAAAATACATTTGAAATATTATAATAAAAAATTATAGTTCATATACTTGATAAACTAATAATATTTATTCTTGCTGGAAATTAGTTTAACATGTATTTGTTTAATTACTCTGACAAAATCAATCATTTTCTAGTAATATTTATTTGGTTGAAGATAGTTTTAACATTCAGTAAAACAAAATGTCTTTAATTCCATATTGATAGATATATATAAATAATTATATCTAGCATTTTGAACTTTCAATATATATTATTTCTGCAGACAGTGAAGAAAAATTTCATAAATATTCAATATTCATTTATTGCTTTTTCAGAGTTTAATTTCTCACTATTTCAAGTGGTTTTTGTTTCCTACAATCTATCCTCAGACATTACTTCAACAGTAAATATCAAAAAATACAACTCAAAAATCACATTCAACTGCTTTAAAAAGGTTGGAGGTGGGCAAAACAGTGTGTTCAAAGAGGATGTATTTTGTTAAAAGAATCTTTTGATTGTTTTCTTATGTAAAACAATCAAAAGATACATTACAGTTGTGTAATGTTTTGATATTTACTGTTAAAATCATGTTTGAGAAAATTTATTTTAATTTTGCTATACAGTAGCATTCCTTTGGAACATATGATTACTGCCCTATTACAACAAAGAGTTATCGAAATATAAAAGTACTTGGAATAATGAAAAATAGGAACTTAACAAAATACTAGAGTTGTTTTTGTTTGTGAAATATTCAATGTCACTTTATAGTAATAATTATCTCAGTAACTATTAGTAACCCAGGAAAATAAAATAAAGGATAATTAAATCATATTACCTGCTGAAGAATTAAATTTAAATAAACTGTTTCTTCCCAATCAATATCACCATCTCCTATGGGTAATTTTTTTGAGTCTTTGCGAAAAACTTCAATCAACAACTACAAAAGAATATAAGTTTTATAACATACTGAAACTGTTATGTCTAGTATTCATATGTAAAACTGAAAGCAAATAATAAATTTTAGAAAACTATATATGTACTGTATACTCACACACACACTTTCTAAAATTTATATATAAGTAAAATATATATATGTTGTATATTATTATATTATATATATATACATTATTATTATTATAGCAATCCACAAACCTTTTTATAACAGTGTTGTGTCTGTAACAATCTTCACAAACGTTTTCAACCTCCACCGAGGTCTACTTCAGGTAGTGACTAAATGGTGTCTCCTCTTGACTGTTGGAACGATGATGCCTGAGATGTAAATAATGCGCATATTGTGTTTTACCCCTCCACCTGTCCCAGTTCAAATTCTTCGAAAAAGTATCTCCACGCCTGCACGATCGTTTCTCTGTCTTTAAAGTTGATGCAGGTGCCCCGAATGTTGGCTTTATAAATCTCCCAGGCCTCCAGGTGACGGATGTGATCAATATGAAACGCCTGTCTGATTACTATGGTGTTTTGGAAGTCCGCCTGAATTAGTCAATAAGTATATAGTAAGCCATAATAATCAGACAGGCGTTTCGTATTGATCACATCCATCACCTGGAGGCCTGGAAGATTTATAAAGCCAACATTGGAGGCACCTGCATCAACTTTAAAGAAGGAGAAACGATCGTACAGGCATGGAGATACTTATTCGAATAATTCGAACTGGGACAGGCAGAGGGGTGAAACGCGATATGCACATTATTTACATCTCAGGCGTCATTGTTCCAACAGTCAAGAGGAGACACTGTTTAGTCATCACCAGAAGTAGACCTCGGTGGAAGTTGAAAATGTTTGTGAAGATTGTTACGGACACAACACTGTTATAAAAAGGTTTTGTGGATTGCTGTTACTCAACGCAGTGTTAAGATTAGTAGTCATTTTGTATTATTATTATATTATATTTATTCCCAATACAACATTATATAAAATGCTGTATTGGAAAAAACTAATAGTAATAGTGCTTTATTTTTAGTTTACACCAAGTCCGTGCTTTATTTTTAGTTTACTTTTACTTTGCTTTATTATATTTTTGTTTGGGGCTTATGTTTGGTTAGGACGAAGGTTTCCTCACCCACCACCCTAACGTTCAAAACGAGAAGATAAAAGATTAACCAACTCACCGACGACGAAACGACAGCGCCATAGCTAGCATTGCACTCACGTGCACGCCCGAGCGGCAGAATTGTAAGTCCGCACTGAAGGGGGGACACCCCAATAGACTTTCTAGGAACTTGTGTAACCTTAACAAAACATCCCGATAATTGTTAAAGAAATGCTGTAAAAGGTTAACAAAGTATTGTCGAGAAATAAGCTACCAGATAACGAAGAGAAAACAATGTTACGTGTAGATATGTAAATGAGGGGAGTGGCTACAGTAGAACTGTGACGTCACCTCATACTATAAGTACAGTAGCTCAAGTGAAGACAG